CACAATTTGGATTTATGGTCGTGACTGTGGAGGTGATCTGCAGGTGCTGATCCTATCGGAAATTTGGGATCTTAATCTCATCCTTTAGGGGAACAATACATTACCCCCATAAATCGCATCTAGAGGCTTCGGCTAAAGATGGGTGAGTTGGGTCGGGAAAATTTGTACTTTGCATATATTCTCGTGTGTGTGATGGTTCTTTATGATTTAATAAATAAATGACACCAACCTGATTGCGGGATTAAAAAAAAAAAAAAAAAAAAAACAAGTGAACAAAAGCAAAGAAAACTGTTATAGGTTTTTTCTTATACAACCAAAGAATAAATAAGATTTTTAAACTTAAATAGACTTTGACTAAAGATTCTATTCTATTGTATCAGTTGTTTTAAAGATTTTTGAGTTTATAAGCTAGGACTTACTTGCGATAAAAAGTATAAAACATTTTTTCATAACAAAAATTACTATAAAAGAAAAATTTTTAACAAAGTAAATACAATTAGAAAAAAGATTTTTTAATATATAATTTTATTATTATTATTTATTATTATTAGTTTATATTGTTATATTATTAATTATATTAATTTTTTGATTATAAATTCAAAAATATTATAGATTTTTTATTAAATTTAAATTTAAATTGTTAAATAATTATTATAGTTCCAAAAATTGAAATTAAACAGAATTACAGGGAATCATATAAGGTTTAAAACATTATTAAAAATAATGGTAGGATATATTTTACCTATTAAATTTAATATAAACTTGAAAATTAAATATAGAATTAAAGAGAATCGTTAGGATTCTCAATAGTTATATTATAAAATATAAATATTTTTTGCTATAAAAAACTTTTTATTAGATAACTAATATATTTAAAATTATTGTTTTATTAAAATTTTTAACAATTTTCAAATATATTTATGATTTTAAGAATATAATTATAATATAAAATATTTATTAATATTAGTATTATTTAAAAAAAAACATTTTAATATTTACAATTAATCAAATATTATTAAATTATAATATTAAAAATATTAAAAAAAATAAATAATATTATTGAAATATTATTTTATTGTTTTTAATATATTATTACTAATTTTTTTAATTGTTTATTATTTTTTTATTATTTAATTTTACTTAATGATTTTAATTTTTTTTTTAATTTTTATAAATAATTATAATGGATATATCAATTTTGAATTGAATTTTCTTAGTACTATATATATTATATTTTCAAAAATATAATAATAAAATATAATAAAAACAAAAAATAAATAATTGTTAATTAGTCAAAGCAAGAAAGATTGTACGAGGAAAGACTTCTGGTCTAACTCCGGTATAAGCCCACAAAAAACTCTAACCCAAACTGGCGACGGCAGACTTTGTCACACAAGAATACCCTAGCCTGAGGCTATTTCAATCTGACGTTTGCTTAAAAGAAGGTTATATTTGCAATATAATTGGAAACCGTAGGTGGTAACAAAGAATAATTTACCTTCTTCAAGGTTCTGGACAAAAAAATATATATGGGGATATTCCTTGATAATTGTGCCTATATCACTCTTAAAAAACTTGTCACTAATAAAAAAAATTGGTTTTTGTGCAATATAAAATTAACAAACCTTTTTATATCAAAAACAAAAATTAAAGTATTCAAAAGAACAATTCGTCAAACTTTACATCAGGTGTTTTCTAACTTTACTCTGAAAGATAATATGGTGTCTCTTCCACAACGAATACAGTCGAGACAGAATCTAGATTAGGTTAGATAGTTTAAAACTAGTAGTAGAATTTCTATTTCCTAAAGATCTCACCCAGGGTGCGAATCCACCCCCATGGTATCAATTGGTACACTAGGTAAGTTTATAGATGTATAGTGAGGTTAACTTAAATAAACCTTAGTATATATGTAATTGGATATAAACTACTCAATAAAAATGCACATGCACAAAGTATTTTTCACTCGAAAAAAAATAAATAAATAAATAAATAATTGTTAATTTTATATTTATATTGTTATAATGTGACACAACGAGTCTGTTGCTTCGATCTGACCTATACCGTGTAATGTTTGTCGAATTATCTTTCTACGAAGTAGGCGTGTATATTTTTGGTCGAGTCTATATTATTGATCTGTTAATTTATTATAGTTCTATCAAATGATCAACCCTTTTCTCAATTGCTTTACTTGTTACTTTTATACTTCTTTGCTATATACTTGATATACCAAATATACTGAATATACTTGATATACTTGATATACTCGATATACTTGATATACCTGATATACCTAATATACCTGATATACCTAATATACTTATTATATCAAATAGATCTAATTATCTTTTTCTTATTTATCTATCTTTTTGTATTACTATTTTTACCTTTAACAATATTATAAAAAATTTTTGTTATATGTTGCTTAGAAATGATTAAGATAAAAGTAATTTTTTATTGTACAAATTATTATTATTATTATTACAATATACTATATGTCAATTTTTTTATTACTAATATATAATTTTTTTAAAAAATTTTAATTTCATTAATTATTAATTATTTTTACTTTTATTAAATCTTTGATTTTAAAAAAAAATTTGCAAAAACATTTTCTTTTAACTTTATTTTATATATTAATTTTATTGCAATAATTAATAGCAAATTTAAAATTCATAGGTGAGTCAATGACTTTCGATTTTTATTGTATATTACAATATGTTATTTGAATATAATAATTTTGTTAGAATAAAAAATTTTTGTGTTTTGCTAAATAATAAAAATTTAATTTTAAAAATAATTAAATATAATAATAATTCATTTTTTTTTATATAAATAGAATTTATATGAAACCTAAATTTCTATTTCTTTACTATTTAAAAGCTAGTTCTATTTGTAAAAAATTTAATATCGTACCATTTTATTGAGAAAACCATAAATTTTATAAAAATAATTTAAATATTGCTTTTTAAAAACCATTTCTTAAAACGTGTTGAGATTCTGAACCAAAACATAGGTAAATGCCATGTCAGCATGGAGTGTGGTAATCTCAATTTCCAATTACGGCAAAGAATGAACAAAATAAAGAGCGTATACAATCACTCATTGCCAACGAGTTAACAATGCACTCATCAATTAATTAATGTCGTTATATCACAATTAGACACACATACAATACAGAAGCATTAATCCACGTGTAACAACGTACATGTAGAATAACTCAGTGAACCAAATTCGTCGTTGTAGGATGCCACGTATTATTGAACGAAGAATTCGTGTAAATTTTCAACATAAATGTTATTCTCGAATATGGTAATTCAGGGAAAATAAAGTAATACCGAGATGTCCTTTACCATTCTCTCCTGCACATAATGTGGTAAGAACATGCATGCATTAGATTCTATTTACGAGTATCTCATTCATCCTTGATTTTTTCAATATCGTAATTAATTGAGCGAGAACACGCGCCATCGAGTATTTGAATTTTACATGGTTTGTCCAAGTGTCATGTTTCTTATCAGTCGATATGCACACATAGCTACTTGTAAATTATCGAGGGCGTAGTTTTGTCGTAGGAGAATCGTTTTTCGGGCTATTCATACATTCATTCATCATATCAATTAGCGTTTCACAAGATAACTTCGTCACCAGGGGATTTCGTTCCAAAAATAAAAGTACACAATAGTGTCTAATCGTGAGGTATTATTGAGCATTGATATATGGAAAAAATTATTTTCTTTGGTAGGAACTGTGAGATGAATATTGGTGTGACGCGAGACTGTCTGGTAGATCTAACCTTCAATCTTAATTTTATTATATACCACATTTGGATGTTTGTGAATTACCCGATAACAATATATGAAAGGGTTGTAGTTTGATATTCCCGGAAAAACGGGGGACGATGTTAGTGTTACTGTAAGAGATGAGTTTGTTTGATTCCATGGGCGTGCTAATCACACTTTGCACATGATAACATTGATAAGCCGGGGAATTGCCCGACATTTGAGGCGCAGTACCATCTTTCCTTGTGGAACACAAGCCATAGCTTTTTTGAACATGTGTTGTATTGCTGTATCATTACACCATGGCATCATGACACATAGTTGTATAATCCAAGTGTTTACCCTTTGTCCGTGAATCGTTAACCCTCAAACAAAAACGATACTCAAAGCAAAGACTTCATCTTTGATACAACAACAAAAAAAATATTCCTTTTTAAATTCACGATTCAGAAGTTACACAAATCATTCCAAATATAGCATATACGTCTTTCTTAACCCTTGTACTGTATGTATAGATCAAAAATGACCTATCATGATTGAATTCTGAAAGGGCATAGTACACAACGTGTATAAATAAAATTATAATTATCCGTCAATTCATAAAGTTTTATAGCATGAACCAGGAAAACAAGAGGATCTTGCCGTGCTTGTATATGTATTAAATGCCATTTATTGTTACACAACACTTATATCAAATGTCCTTATTCCCTATAAATACTATTCCGAAACTCTTTTTGCCTTTTTCCATAACTCTTTCGTGTGCTCTCGTTTTGTCTTCATGGTCTACACCACCTTCGTTAGCAATTAAAAAAGATCATCGGGCAAAGTCCACTGCGAGACGCATAGAATTCATAATTAAACCTTAATATCTCACTTTAATTCCCTATTATACACATAATAAGAAAATTCTTACCAACGAATTTTTTTAAAAACAAAACATAGACCTGGATTTTCTTTGAGAGAGATCCATCCAAACAAACGCATTTCACTCGCATTAAAGAAACCTTTCTAAAAAATACCCTTAAACCTAGATTAAAGCTAATTAATAACATTAATAAAGCACAACCGACCAGACTTTATACTGTAAAGTTCAGATCGTGCAAGATGAATGGTATCATTGCCGTTGACATATTGATCGATAACGACGGAAAGTTGGTGATGTATGGTGCCCCCAACAAGGACGCTGTCTACACGGTTTCCGGTAAACTGCGCATCGTTCTCTCAAAACCATTGAAAACAAAATACGTCTCCATAAAGCTGAAAGGAAAATCAGAATATTCCGACTGGGAGAATCAATATTCCTGTATCAACGTCCTAAAGCTCGATCAAACCCTGATAGAGAGAGAAACTTTGCCGCGCGGTGTTACCGACCTAGACTATGAATTCACGGTTCCGGGCAATATCCCGCAAACTTATGTCACAAGTTTTGGGTTGATTAGGTATAAATTGGTGGCAATGGTGCAACCAGCCTCGCTGTTGGCAAAGTATAGCAGAGTCGAGCGAGGAATAAATTTCGCTAGGCATTACTTGCCTTGCAGGCGGGAACTTTTGCCAGCCCCACCAACCAAAGTTTACAGGGGCAGGCGAAAAAATATACTGAAATATGAGTTAGACGTCCCGACGGTGGTATGCGTGAATGAAAAGAGTTTATTGATTAGGATTAGATTATTTCCGTTGAATGAACAGGGAAGAGTGAAAAGTATCACATTTGATTTGGTTCAATCGGAAAAGTATAGGTAACTGTTGTCAAGATTGTATCACTCTATCATCGGTGTTTCAAGCATCGGTACTAACTCACCTTTGTTCCCTTTGGGCATGGCACCAGAGTTCAGCCGAGTCCACAAGATTTGTCAGATTTTGCGATCGATGGGGCCCAGCTAGTAGGCAGTGTACAATTGAGTGGGTCCTCTTCCACAAAACGAAAACGTTCTCACCCTATAAAACCCACGACCCTAATCATCTCTTACGATACCGACACCTGGAATAATCCATTAACCTACAACCTTCCATTTGCTCAATACAACAGTCAAAGCCAAAATCAGGCGCGCAGGAGTCGTCTCAAGGCTACCGTAAAGTCTCCATTGATGAAGGTTCGCCATAAGCTAAAGTTGGTGATGACTTTTGATGACGAATCCGAAAAACAACTTGAAATCGGTTTTCCAATAATCGTCACCACCATACCAGAGGGAGACAATTCGCTGTATACAAGCGGTCTGGATTTTGGTGGTTTACCATCATACGATGACGCGATGGTGGAGGATTCACCAACAATTGGTTATTACGATAATGAAATACATTCGAGGCCCGAAACTCCTGACATTTACTCGGACGTGACTTCCCGGAATCAATCGAGAGGTAGCACGCGCCCTACCACGCCAATCAACATTCACGAAGATGGTGGTAATGCAAGTGCGGATAACACCCCGGTGAATCCATTTACGGCTTCTAAGAGTACTCTCAGACCTTTTCACACAGATTACTTCTCATTTAATTCATCGACCGCCAGCAATAACGATAGCGACAGCGATAATCACGTTAATATCAACAATAGGCCTCATCAACCATTGAGACAAAAGAAAAGTCAACGTACGCTGGCACAATCACTTGGACGTTTGCTGTTGCGCAACGAATCATCATCATTGAATTCACAAAACGCATCGGCATCGACTACGCCCATGATGCTTACGCCTTCCTCCTCCCCTCCAACGCAGATGAGTTCTTCTCCACCACATTTTGAGATTACATCCCCAAAATTCCAATCCAACACGGATGACCATCTACAAACCTCTTCATCATCCGTCCCGAAATTAAGACCACTAAGAAGTATGACATCGTTGTCAACCGCAGCCTCCTCTACCAAGAATGATGGCACATCTATGCCACATGATCAGAGGATAAGCCATTTATATGCAACGCGCGCGGGCCGGGCAAGTTGGTATCTTAATATGCCGGACGAAGACGATCTGTTACATAATACGCCAGAGATCCGTAGTGCTCCAAGTAGTCCTCGGTTGGCAGGAATTAATATGAATTTTAATTCCACTGGTAACAACGGAGATGATGGTTCATCAAGCAATGATAATAAATTAATAGTTCCGAGTTTCCTCATAATATAATTGATGGATAATAGTGACAACAGTGACATTGAAAAAAATAATGCGTTTACACTTAATCTATTTTTTTCCTTTTATACATAATTTAAAGTTATTTGATTAGATAATTTGGTAAAATAAAAATATAATCTTGTTTGTATTATATACACTCTATTTAATGGATAAGATTTTTGTTATCTAGTTTTTAAGCTTGACATTGCATTTTCGTTTTACACTTGTTTTATTTAAATTGACCACAGTATTGTTTTACTCATCAACTACCGTGGCTTGTTAACATATTTATCCAAACCAATACTTCCCATTAGATTTTATCATTTCTACCTTAATTTTTATATTGTATGTATTGTATATTATCTGTGAAATTCATTTTTTTTAATATATTATCTTTTGGTTCCAATAACAAAGCAGGATTATAAAATTAATCTGAAACAATAATATTTACCATAAACCACTGCATACAATATCCCGGGTATTAATCATTCCACCAGAAAAATTACTTGGGAAAAAAAGAAAAATACTATTAAAATAATCAGGAAGGGTACTATTCAAGGAGGAGTATTGTATACAGTGGTTTACAGTAATTGTTCAAGTTACAGTAAGTTATTTGATATTGTTTGAAAGGATTAAAATTATTTTTATTAATGGTTTTCAAGTTTAATATACCAATTTATTTCTTTGATTTTTTTTAATCTTTTCTTTAATTTTATTATTATTATTATTTATTTTTATTGTTTTTTTTTTTATTCTGTTTCTATTTTACTTTTATTTTATAAAAACATGCTGTTATTACAAATTTTAATTAACATAATTCTTATTTGCACTTTCAAAGCAATTAATATAATTGTATTGATTCTTTAAAAATCATATACAAATACATAATTAAAAAATAAAATTATTATAATTAATAAATACAATATGAAACAATTTTAGATAAATTTCTTATAATTTAACTAAATCAAATAATAATTATTTATTGATATTTTATTATTTGTTAATAATTATTTTAAGTTTAACTTAGATTTTTATATCATATATCAAATATTTTTTGTTATATAATTTAAGTATTTTTAAAAAAATAAACAATTTTATTAAAATAAAAGTTAAATATTCAAAATATAAGATAAATTTAAGATTTTTTAAAATTGTAAAAGTAATAACTACTTATATGGTTTTTTCATATAGATTAATTAGATTATTTGACTAATTTAATCTATATATTTTAATATTTTAAATTGATAGATTCTTAAATTATATAATTCATACTTAACAAATTGTTTTAATTATATATTATAGTAATATAATTAATAATTCTGGATTATCTATTTATATTATATTATATATTTTATAAATAATTGTTTAATTATATTATATTTTAAGAGAATGGTAATAATTCTAAAAAATATTATTATAATATTATAAGATAATCTAATCCATAATGATATATATAATAAAATAATAATATATAAATAAAAATAAAAAATATATAAAAACTCTCGATACTTAAATATAAGAATTGAATTTTTTTAATTGTAATTATTTAATAATTTAATAAATATATAATATTAATTTATGTAATTGTAAGGTTAAAAATAAAAATAATAGTTTCATGAAATTTATCTAAAAGCAAACGACATAAGTAAACGATGAATATTAAATTACTATAATAACATTTAACTTAAGATGTGTGACATTAAAATAGAAACTAGAGCTTTTTTAAGATCTGCAAACTTTCCGTTGGTTGGTACGGAAAATTATATGATTGTGGAAACGATCTGTCTCTTACCTGAACTTTTGAAAACATTGTAAATAAAGCGAGAATAACGATAATGAATACCAACAACGAACAAAATACTGAAAAAAACTTCTTTACGCTGCCATTATCAAAGGCTGCAAAGAGAAAGAGAAGACGCCGAAGAAAGGCTGCACTCGAAGCGACTCAGAGAACGTCCACGAGCGACAACCAAGCAGGCATGAGAACTAAAATTACACATTCTCCGAGTCGCGTAAACCATAGAGTTAAAACTTCAAAATCCTCAATCAATGGGCCGAATGCTCGAGTCGGTGATGTTCAATCTTACTCTGGTGGAAATAAATCTAATAAATTTAATGAAATCGTGAGTCCGCCTAGACTTGTGGGCCGTTTGGCACGCAATGAGAGTTCAAATATTGGCATTCGGCCATCGAGGTCGGGTGAATTTACGGTTAACTCTGGAAGGGATGATCGCAGGATACCATCTTTTTCGAAGAACCGTCACGATCGTGACAATTCGTCTCGATCAAAATTAAATTCTGGTAATTATTATAGGCCAGAACATAGTAGAAATACTTTACCATCGAGCCCCGGTGAATTTTCATTGCGTCCCACAAGATCAGGGGTTTATTCTCTAAAGCGTCCTCGCTCTAATGAATACATGAATGACAACAGACGCAACCATTTTAGTCGACCTCATTCACCAGAATATAGAAATAAGGAATCCCCAAAACCATTGGATGATAATAATGACTACGAAGATGATTACTTTGGAAAAGAGTACTTTTCTCCTAATTTACAAAGCTATATTAAATCAAGATCAAAGATCCCTAATGGATCAAAATATTGGAAAATGAGAAACGATCACGGAATTCGTCAAATGAATCCAAATATTCTCCCACTAAATAATGATTTGGTTCCATGGATGAGTCATTCGCAAGATGATAGCCAGCATTCCAAAGATGAATCAGAAAGTGATGTTACAAGCACAAATAAAAATCCTTCCGAGAGGTACATGCGAACCGCATTGGTACCTTCGATCGAAGCTGAAAAGCCATTGCCAAAATTGATTGTTTTTGATCTTAATGGAACATTGATTTTTCGAACTTGTTCTGACATCGAAAAAGCCATATTGCGTCCATATATTAAAGAATTTATGGATTATATATTTTCCGGTGGATTTTCCGTAATGGTTTGGTCTTCAGCTCAACCAAATAATGTTAAAAAAATGGTGAAGGCAGCGTTTGGTCCCCATGAGGTTAAATTGATCGATGTTTGGAACAGAGATCAATTTTCTTTGACTTTTCGGCAATATCATCGAAAAACCTTGACGATCAAAGATCTCGACAAAGTTTGGAAAAAATTAAATTCCAATCGTGTTCCCAAACCTTATTTGAATGCAAAATCAACATCGTTTCCTGCCTCTATTGTTTGGGATCAGACAAATACCATATTGATAGATGATTCTAAGCTGAAAGCTCAATTACAACCTTTCAATTCTATTCATCTGCTAGAATTTAATGAGAGCCTGGCACTATCAGGAAGAGATTGTGAATTAAGAGATGTTATTCCATACCTTGAAACGTTGAAATGTCAAACTAATGTCAGTGCCTACATTAAGAATTCTCCGTACAAAAGCAAAGAACTTTGCGATTTGCCTACTCAAAGAAACACCAGTAAATCATCATTAGGCCCTATTATTGACCTCAGAGGTCAGTTGAAAAGTTCCTCACGTGACTCTGTATCTTTTGCTAGTCATACCGAGAAAAATTACTGGAGATTTACTCAGAATTCTGGAGCTGATCGAGACAATCCAAATGTGTCAGTCAAAAAAGAAATGGATCGCCATGACATTTCTAACAAGACAAATTTAACTGAAGCCTCATATAATTCCTTTTCACCTAATGCTTATGTCAAACAAGAACCTAGTCGTCATAATGGTCGAGTTACTACTAAAGTCACCAATGAGGTTTCGACTATTAAAAGCAAAATAGAAATATCAAGCAATGAGTTATATGATCAAAACCAACAAAATACAAATTCTGACAACTGCAAGGTATCTTGACATTCATAGTGCATGTGATTTTTTTCTTTAATAACAAACACATTATTCTTTGGATTATATGTACTATTGAAATATTCGATGCCTTAAATCCATAAAAAGTGCAGTGTAGATATTTAGAAAATGCACGTTGCTGAATTAAATTGAAATTAATCATTTGTTTTTATAAAACAAGTTAATTTTGTTAATATATTAAATTAAAAAAATTGGTTTTAGTAATATTTTATATTTAATAATGAAAAAAATTTTTTGAACTGAATTTTATTTTATAATTTCGAATTTAAGCATGTTAAATTTATAATATATGGTTTATCAAATTTCGAAATAAATTTATTTATTTAGTTAGTTTTTTATACTTATTTAAAAAGAATTAACCTTATACAACAGATAATATATTATTATTATTATAAAGATAAAAATATTTAACATTTGATTTTTGAATCGACAAAAAATTTAATGAAAAGAATTTTTATTTTTATTTATATTATTTATAAATAAATTAATAAATTAATATAAAATACAACAAACCTGAATATAATAAATCTGTTTATAATAAATTTATTATAAAATACTAGTTATAATTTTATTATAAGTTTTTAAACCAAATTTTTTTAATCTTAATTAATTGATTTAAAGAATTTGTTATATTTAAATTTAATTATTATTTTAGAAATACAGTTTGTCTAAAAAGTCTTTGGACAAATATTTTTTATAATAAATAAATATATATTTAATTATTTATTATAAAATTTTAAAGGTATATTTTTTAAAATGTAAAAAATAAAATAATAAGTTTTTTTTAATACTTTATTAATAAATTTATCTTAAAATTTGATTTTAAAACTAAAAAGTTTGTTTAAAAATTTTTTATAAATTTATATATAAATTATGGATAGAAAAATAACTTTTTCTATATAAAATTTTTTTAAAAAATTTATTTAAAAAATTTAAAAAAAATTATTTGTTCAATAAAAAATTATAAAAAGGTTTTTTATAATGTACAAATTAATTTTATAAAAAGTAATTTTTTTTTATTTAATAATATATATATATATATATTTTTAGTGGGGTTTCCCCTTATAGGTAAGCATTATTTCTTTATTTAATATTGTATATAACAAGATATACATTGTGAAAGAAACAACATCTCTTATATACATGTGTAGCAAGTTAAATGTTAGCCTGCCTACGCGAACACATCTAGCTAATATTGAAAAAGAAATTTAAAACAATATTATATATTAGCTGTGCCTAAATAGCAGCTATATCTATCTATTCAGGAAATTTTACGAATTCTTTTTTTTTTTTTAAGGGCTAAGGTGTAATACACACAAAGATTTTTATTATAAGTTTTTATAGATTACAATTAATCATTATATGAACAGTCTATGTTTAACTGACACATTACCCTTATTCTAATCCAAGTACTAACTTACACTATAAAGGTGGGTTTATACCTGAACATGAACTTCAGAGAGCTTTTTTGTTTTGTATTTTTTACCTGTTAGCTATCACTAAGGTCCCTATCATTTAACTTAACAACACATATATCTAATATTATAGAGTTTACTTCTTTACACTTCCTAGTAAATACTCCAAGAGTTTTCCTATGGTTGGCATACACTACCAAATCTGGGGGCTCGGTTGCTGGCCAAGTGAAGCACGACTCCTTAAGGATTACTCCTTACTCTCCTAGTAAACACTCCAATAGGTTTCTTAGTTGACTTAGGTTGCCAAATCTAGGGATATGAATACCAAGTAGGACGCAACTCCTATAAAGTAGCCATGAATCTCTAAGCATGCCCTGTAAGATTTCAATCTGAAAGTGATCATTAGTTGCCTAATGGAGTTAACAGGTTTTTTCTTTTATAGTTTGTGGACTATAGGGGAGAAAGCGACTAATGTGGAACTGGTGAATACACCAAGTGCAATGTTGATCATCGTAACACCAACCGGATGATCAACACTACACAATACCTTTTCTGGAGAACACAATCTCAACGCCCACTGGATCAGCATGTGAAATGGTTTTGTATAAGAAACAGCACATAGCAGGTTACGGTGCCAGATACCATATGGAATTGTTTAATTGCCTTCACTTGGGATTGAACTGGTATCTTGTGATCTGACCTGTGAAGTGCTAACCATTGTACTATAGACCCACAGGTCAAAATTTTACAAATTCTTTTGATTTTTTAAATATAAAAAATTAAAAATAAAAATAAAAGTAACTATAACTAGAACTACATTAAGTAAACTATAATCTATAGGTAAAAAACTATTATTTCCCCTTGGAAGCTCCTGGACAGGCTCGTTGTCCTATCTCTCTGGCTCGTCGGTTACTATAGATAATAGAGTATATGTGGCGTTGTTTGTTGTTATAGTTGTTGGTAGTGTGTTAGTTGTTGTTGTTGTTGTGATCATTGTTATTATACAAAACTGGTTTGAGCTTGTTCGAGTTTTGTTTTGATCTTTAAGCGAAATCTGATTGGATGATTGAAGAGCGCT